TGTAGACATATACCGAAAGTTATCTTTTTATAGCTAATTCAGGTTTGTATGGGTGTTGTCGCCACACTATTCCAATATTCCAATAGCTATAATTATGACAGCTTCTGTAAATAATGGAGTCTGGATCAGACAATCCAGTGGTTGACACCATGAGCATCGATACACTTAAAGGAGATTCCAGGACATGCAACCAACCAAGTCACTGAGCCTGACCAGACGGGCTACCGGTAGTTATAACGCTGATAGAAATCCAAATGTAACTATCCATATAGTTTACACAAACAAGATCAAAAGACACACACATTTACACATTTGTAATTTGGACAGTTTCAAGATTTTTCCAAATGAATTGTGTCACACAGGTAATCAATGGCACATGTCAGGGGTTTATAGAATTGATAATGATATTGACAATGTCAGCCACTGTGGACCATGCCGGATATTTTTATTACATGCCGCGTGCAGGCATGGCAAGGGGGCAGACTGTGTGAAACTGAAGTGTTGTTTGATATATGGTGGCGGTCTGTAAACAATCTAATCTGCACAAGACAATCCAGTGATTGACATCATGAGCATCAATTTAGGCAACTGTGATACAATGACATACATCAACCAAGTCAGCAAGCCTGACCACCCAGTCCCCTCAGTCTCCTCTTGTGACATGCATGGGTTGCTGAAGGCTTATTCTCTACCCAGATCTTCATCGGTCAAAACTGAGGTGACACTGGTGCATGACATTTAAATGTCAAACAGACATGACATTCACCTGCCCATACCCAGGCCCATCATGGCCGCTAAGAATGCAGATATTATCTGGGGAATATTATACTAAGGCCAAACAAATGATAACCTTGGTTCTCAGGCACCGCCGGCATCATCATAAATTCTGCCACACGTTTCGCTTTTATTTCCATTTTCAAAAAGGAAAACTTAAAGATCCTAATATTTAAAAACAATGCGATCTAATATAGCACGCAGTTACTTCCCTTTACATGCACACTGCTTTACTGTACATCTCGTGTTCTGGTCATGGGGGCAATAGGAGTTTGTCTGCTTCTATATGTCGGGTGAAGTGTATCCGATGATCAGTTACTTCCCTTTACATGCACACTGCTTTACTGTACATCTTGTGTTCTGGTCATGGGGGCAATAGGAGTTTGTCTGCTTCTTTATGTCGGGTGGAGTGTATCCGATGATCAGGGTAGTAACAGGACATCGTCATCTTTGAGCTCTTGCATGTATATAGCGCTGTGTAGATGGACTATAATTATTTAACCTGCTCGTTGCATTGAGCTCATGCATGGATATAGCCCTGTGTAGATGGACTATAATTATTTGACCTGCTCGTTGCAGTGAGCTCATGCATGGATATAGCCCTGTGTACATGGACTATAATTATTTGACCTGCTCGTTGCAGTGAGCTCATGCATGGATATAGCTGTGTGTTGATGGACTATAATTATTTAACCTGCTCGTTGCAGTGAGCTCATGCATGGACATAGCTGTGTGTAGATGGACTATAATTATTTAACCTGCTCGTTGCAGTATGTATAAATCCTTAATGGCTTTTCCCTTCTGTAAAATACATCATTTGCCTATTTAATAACCTATCATTAATGATGCACTGTACAAATCCGTCTCCATGTCTGCATGTACAGGACATGGCAGCCCAGCTGTAAGAGTAAACAAAAGAACAAACTTGTCCGTGCAGGCTGAGGTCTCTGATATCCTGTAACGGAATCCAAAGAAACCGAACAGTGATTTGAAGAAATCAGAGAATGAAATCATCCAATCTGTTACTCATGGAGCTGAAGAGATACCCATTTATTTTAGTGGGCTTACTTGAGCAAATCGGCATAAGTTCAGACTAGAAGTGTGCATGCATGCACGCATGTTGCAATGTACGTGCATGCTCGTCGCAATGTAAGTGCAGTAGTCTTGAACACAACGTTAGCCCCATTTCACCTCACGTCACTAAACCAGAGGCCCTAGATACAAATGTAGCATAACGATCTGAACCGTTTCCATGTTATGATCCTGTTGGCATAATTGTATTATTCTCCTTATAACAAACAAACATATACAATTTATCTGTTTAGTGTAGGGTGGGGATAATATCGGTTTGCAGCCCCGCCATTTGTATAACTGTGAACTCCCATCACCTGAGAATACTTCCAACCAAATATGGTTGATGTCTATCTCTTAGTTCCAGAGAAGAAGTCGCTTAAAGCAACATAGCCTAATTACCCCTATTTGGCCCCGCCCCTTAGCCCCATGTGGGATCAACCCAACCATTTCTACAATTGTGATTCCCCACCACCTAGGGATGCTTCGAGTCAAACCTCATTAATTTCCAATTAGTGGTTCAGAAGAAAAATTGAGTCATTTGAAAAAATTGTTGACGTAAGGACGACGGACGATGGACGGACGACAGACGCCACGGTATGGCACAAGCTCACCTTGGTACTTCGGGCCCGGTGACCTAAAAACAGTCCATTGGACCACTTTACCCATGTCCAGAGAATGTCTTAACCAAAAACACCACAAAGCACCCTTAAGACACCCTGTCATCTAAATCTACCCATGCTGTCATGTATCTGGTCACAGAACACAGTCTATTGGACCACTTTACCCATGTCCAGAGAATGCCTTAGGGAGAAACAGTACAAACCACCCTTAGACACCCTGTAATCTAAATCTACCCATGCTGTCATGTATCTGGTCACAGAACACAGTCTATTGGACCACTTTACCCATGTCCAGAGAATGCCTTAGGGAGAAACAGCACAAACCACCCTTAAGACTCCCTGTAATCTAAATCTACTCATGTTATGATGTATCTGCTCTTGTGCCGGTTGGTAGCCTAGCTTGTCATGCTGAAGACCTGGGTTCGTTTCTGGTGTCCCCCGCCGTGATATTTCTGGAAAATTGCTAAAAGCAGCGTAAAACCATACTCTCTCACTCAGTATGCTCTAAGAACAGAGTCTATTTGAACACTTCATTCATGTCCAGAGAATGACTTTAACCAGAAACTGCACAAATCCATCCTTAAGACACCTTGTAATCGACACCTACCCATGCTATGATGTGTCTGGTTACTATACACTTGACCATTTCCAGAGAAACAACACAAAACACCCTTAAGACACCCTGGGCCCACTTGCACAAAGCGATCTTAGCGCTAAGACTGTTGTAAGCCTAAGTTAAAGTATGGGAGTTTCGATCGTCTTAGCACTAAGATCGCTTTGTGCAAGTGACCATTTGACTCATCTCCTGAGAATGACTGAACCAAAAAAATCACAAACCACCCTGAAGACACCCTGTAATCTAAACACAATCCCTTTAACCTGAAGCTATGCAAACCAATATCTGGCTAGTATGCATACTCTATTTGACCACTTGACCCATTTCCAGAGAAAGCCTTCAACCTGAAGCTACACAAACCATCCTTAAATCTGAATCTCACTTCCAGACCATCCACATTAAACATGAACCTAAGTTTGCCCCTGGCGGCCCAGTGCTTCATGATCAGCGACTCATGCTTGTCCTCAGCAGCGACAGATTCAGATGGTCAGTCACTTCCAGACCATCCACATTAAACATGAACCTAAGTTTGCCCCTGGCGGCCCAGTGCTTCATGATCAGCAACTCATGCTTGTCCTCAGCAGCGACAGATTCAGATGGTCAGTCACTTCCAGACCATCCACATTAAACATGAACCTAAGTTTGCCCCTGGCGGCCCAGTGCTTCATGATCAGCAACTCATGCTAGTCCTCAGATTGGTTGGTTGGTTTGTTGTTTAACGCCGCACTCACCAATATTCCAGCTATATGACCGCAGTCTGTAAATAATCGAGTCTGAACCAGACAATCCAGTGATTAATATCATGAGCATCGATCCACGCAATTGGGACAGATGACATGTATCAACCAAGTCAGCGAGCCTGACCACCTGATCCTGTTAGTCGCCTTTTACGGCAAGCATGGGTTGCTGAAGACCTATTCTACCCCAGAATCTTCACGGGTCTTGTCCTCAGAAGCGACAGATTCAGATGGTCAGTCTTGATGACTTGATTGCATGTCATCATGTCTCACTTGTGATGACCGTTGCTCATAATGTCAATCACTGGATTGTCTGGTGGGGTGGGTAGGGGGGAGGTGATGTGAGGTGGGGTGGGGGTGGGGTGGGGTGAGGTGAGAGTGTGTGTGTGTGTGTGGGTTGGGGGGTTGCACTAGTCCAGACCGATGGCAGTTTTATGGTGTTAACTCACTGAGATCATGCTAGCAATTTAACATGAATACATAATCACTGGATTGTCTGGTGGGGTGGGGTGGGGGGAGGTGATGTGAGGTGGGGTGAGGTGAGGTGGGGTGAGGTGAGAGTGTGTGTATGTGTGTGTGTGGGGGGGTTGCACTAGTCCAGACCCATGGCAGTTTTATGGTGTTAACTCACTGAGATCATGCTAGCAATTTAACATGAATACATAATCACTGGATTGTCTGGTGGGGTGGGTAGGGGGGAGGTGATGTGAGGTGGGGTTGGGTGAGGTGAGGTGAGGTGAGGTGAGGTGAGGTGAGGTGAGGTGAGGTGAGGTGAGGTGAGGTGAGGTGAGGTGAGGTGAGGTGAGGTGAGGTGAGGTGAGAGTGTGTGTATGTGTGTGTGTGGGGGGGTTGCACTAGTCCAGACCGATGGCAGTTTTATGGTGTTAACTCACTGAGATCATGCTAGCAATTTAACATGAATACATAATCACTGGATTGTCTGGTGGGGTGAGGTGGGGTGGGGTGAAATGAGGTGGTGTGGGGTGAGGTGAGGTGGGGTGGTATGAGATACCCCAAAATTATCAGACTGTGTATACAGCTCAACTGCAATTTGGACTGCTGGCACAAGACATGTGTAGATCTTGAGATTTCTAATAAAACAATCACGATGAAAGTCAGTGGCAAGAGAATCAAGTCACAGTTCAGCAAGGGCCACACTGCCTGGAACAAAGGTCTCACCTTTCAATCTGAAGAATCAGAAAGTGCCTCTCCACCCCAGATACCCAGGACTGTCACCAGGATGAGTGCTGAAGACTTCTCACTGGTCACCAAGTCCAGGTTGGATGGCACTGGGCTGTCCCCGCCACACTGCGACTGCATCTCTACCTCTGTGTGGCTGTTGGGTGAAACTGCGGCCAGCAAGCAAGACCTGAAACAAGAGTCAAGCAAAGCTGATTTGGAGGGTGTATGACAATGAAAAGATGGCCGAGGCATGGAACACAGCTCTGAGATTGCATCATTCAACATCCACTGACTATGACAAGCCTCACCTGCAGATAGCCAGAGAAAGAAAATACATGCTTGAAAATGACATTGAAATGTGTTATGTGTGACTTCATAGCACCTGATATGAAGTTGTACAACGCAATCAAAACAGGCAAACCTGGACCAAACCCAGCAGCATCTAACATAGGACTTGCCTTGGGTCTACAGTACAAGACACACCTATTGGAAACACAAGAGCCAGATTACTGATGGCAAACACAGACATTCCACCCCCTTGCAGGAGCAGTATGCAGAGGACCTCTAACAAGGTGGCTAAGACTGTTACTGAACTGAATACACAGGATATGGATGTAGAGTAGAATTAGTGAAGGAAGTTAATCGGAAGAGGGTACTGAGCCTTGTGAGATGAATATTGTAATGGATGACCGATATAACTCAACCACAATAACAAGCAGGAAGAAGTCAGGGCAGAATGCATCACAAGCAATCAGCATCACCTGCGAAACAGTAACTGACAAGAAGTTCATCATCAGCTTGTCATTCCAGAGTAAGCTCTGCTGGACTGGTGCTTGGCTGAAAGGAAAAGGAATGGATGTGAAATGTCCAGGGGGGCACCCACACTGTACTGCAAACATGTCGGATTTCGCTGCATTCTCTGAGTTTATTATGGGAGAGGACATTGGAAATCAGCTTGCACTACAGGGTACACGGTCAGTCAGGTCATAATAACTGATGTCAACCAGCACCACAGTTTCTGAGCAGTAAACGTGCTCTGAAATTAAGCATAAAAATCAAGGGGTCCTTGTCATACCCAGATAACAAATTTAAGTGTATTGTTATTTTTTACTGTCATGAACAGCTTTGAGACCCCTTGTGTTTCTCCATATCACTAACACTGCAGCTTCATAATCACTGTAGTTTCTGGGTAGATTTGAAAAATTAAAATTAATTTAGGTAAAATATCAATGCATAAAAAAATAATGTTTCTTGACATTTTTTGTCAAAAATAAATCCCATTGTATAATTACACATCATAGCAAAAGTTCTAGGTCTGTGGTTTCTGAGAAAATGTTTTTAAAAGATTTTCCAAGTAGTAGAAGTGTATTTTTTATGTCTTGATTATTCTACAAGCAGGAATTTAACAGCTCTCAATCACAATGTTCTTTTACATATCATTTCACAGTTACTGCTTGCTGTGCACAGTTGATTATTATTATTATTATTTTTTTTAAAACAACATTTTTGAAGATCATAAGATATCACTCCAGCAAGCAGAGACCATAAAACAGACTATGGTCTCTGTGCCAATTTTAAGTTACCATGGTTACTGTCAAAACCTGGTATTTCCAAACTAAAGTCAATGGCCACATCAATAAATTTAAATTATCTGAAAAAATAACACACGGGTAATGGCTAACAATAGCATGCTTATCTTTTGAACAAACTTCAGGCTGACAATATTAGAGCGATCATCCGAGTTTCAGCTTCCCTGTGTTATTTTTCTGAGAAATAGTCAAAACAATTCAATTCACACTTGATATACTTACCGTGACTATGGATAAAAGAATGCGGTTCATTCACAATTAGCGGTCATAATATATAAACGAACATTGCTCCATTATTCCTGAGAGGAGAGAGGATTGACACCAATGAGCATGTCTTGCCTCGGCCGCACCCTGTGACCCAGTGCCTGTTGGTGCAGTCGAATGCAAGTCTTGCTAGATCCGTGTCTATAACTTATTCTATTCTTTCAAAATATCTTTAAAAAGTATAAATAATGAAGATACTACCTTATGTATCCACGGGCTGATAAGGTATCCCATGACATTTCACATTTTGCTTATAAAACAGCAAACCATCACGATCACTTCCCAAAATCACTTCCTGGTCGCCATTTTCTGGTTCAAGAAAGTTCAAGGTCGTGTTGGATGGTACTTCTGCGCTGGCCGCGGGACACAGACGAAAGCTTGGCCCCGTCTCTAAGTTTCGGGCGCAACAAAATCGTGGAACTAGTTTCAGAAAAAAGCTCCATTACTTTGCATGCTACCCGCGGTATGGATACCGTATTGAATGTGTAGGAAACAATACATCGATGTGAGAAGCTTATTAAAACTGGTACCAAGCTTCGTTGCGCTACAGACAGAAGGAAACCAGTCCTGTTGAAACACCCCAGAGCAAATCTTGATCTAAATCTTTCACAGACGGCCTGAAGATGCTGACGTCAAAGCTAAAAACATGACGTCATTACCTTTGTCCGTGCATGTTGGAAAACTTGACAGTGACTCAGCTATCAGTGATATCAAGTCAAATCTCAGCTTGGCCTGAAAAACAGTGAACTTTAAAAAATATTTTCAATCAAAAGGCCTCTGTCTCACAGACTCGCTTGGCCAGATTTGTACTTATATGCAATAATTTTCTTAAAGGAACAATGGATTTATGTTAACACAAACTTTAGCTTTTATTGTGTAGAGGAAAAGTTCTGCATTATGTTCAGAAATTATCCCAAATTGAGCAGACAACAGGAGTAAACTGAAAAAATATTGACCCTATACCGAAAAAAACCCTTTAGTTCTTCACAACTGACTTTAAATACTTATATTATGAGGACCTTGATATGAATTAAAGTACCAGAAGAGTTTTGGTTTGCTATGCATCTACTGAACTACTGAGCTAATTACTGTTTTTCTTAGCGTCGCATAGATTTTCTAAATAATAAATGTTCCTGGTATTAACGTTACAGCCAAAGTTTGAAGCATGGAGATTCAGTACAAATTGAGACCCGTGAAGATCCGGGGTAGAATAGATCTTCAACAACCCATGCTTGCCGTAAGAGGCGCCTACGGTTCATGCATGTCATCGTATCCAAATTGCGTGGGTCGATGTTCATGATGTCAATCACTGGAGTGTCTGGTCCAGACTCGATTATTTAGAGACTGCTATCATATAGCTGGAATTTTGCTGAGTGCGGCGTTAAACAGCAAATAAACAAACAAACAGTACAAATTGAGAAATATGCATACAATTTCCACTAAATACTATATGAATGTGTGTGTCTGTCCTATACACGATTTGGAACTTTGTATTTCTACGTCAGGTACTCACCAATATGAACAAGTCAAGACCAAATTTGTTTCGTGTGTGTGTGTGTGTGTGTGTGTGTGTGTGTGTGTGTGTGTGTGTGACAGCTCTGTAGGCCAAATATCTGGTTCTGAAATATCTATCGTGTTTACCTTCTGGGTGCCGAGTCATTTTTCTAACGCACATTTTCATAAAATCTGAAAAGTGAAGGTTGTGCGAGAATTGTGACACGTAAGTCAGCAGAAACATTCCGAGAATCTGTGTAATTTGATTTGTTTGTATACTTTTCAAGAAATACCGATGTGGTTGTGCGTGATTTTGCGTCAGTCATGGCGTCACGCAGGACGGAAACTTCGACAATTGTTGTTGAATTTACCAAATCATTGCAATGTATATATTTTTAATTCCCTAATTCTTGCTACGATTCTCTTCCCATGCACATTCTGAAAATGGTGCGCTAATGTATGCAACGAATATACGAATGGATAGCTCAAAATTGGACAAATTCTACACTGTGTAAAATCTGAATTTTGCTTTGTTTACATTTCTTAAAAGTGCAGTTTTCCTCCGTGCACAGCGTTCGTGTCCAAACCAAATTTATTATGCTTGATTTCTTCTGGACACTTGGTGTTGGTGACAAGGACAAGGACCAGGACCAGGACCAGGACAAGGACCAAGGACCAGGACAAGGACAAGGACCAGGACAAGGACCAGGACAAGGACCAAAGCATTCAAGGATGTATGTATACTAGCTGAGTGTGAAACATACGTGATGTAATAGGCGTCTCATAATTCCACACAGGTGAAACGGGATTTTGTAAACACTCTCCAATATACGTATGGCGGAAAGTTTACGTCGGCGTTCGTGTTTGGGTATTTTCCAAAACATTCTAAACGATTCTTGGGTTATCGGCGACGTTTTGGAATGATCATTGGTGATTTGATAAAAGACAGATACCTAGCTGTGATCACTAATATGCCCTTTTTGAAATTCATTTCTCCCAGTAATTATCCGAAATTTCAATTTCAAAACATGCTGTAAATAACGCCGTGAATTGTGACTTAGTAATGTTTAAAAATGGCGTGATCTATCATGTACCTCATTTTCAGTAATTCTGCTTTGCCTAAAATGACAGTGGATGATATCACAAAACAGGCAATTTCCCACAGAATGAAAACCTGTGAAGTGTAATTGTGTGCGTGCTGTGTATTGAATTTTATTCAACTCCAAAGTGAGCTCGAGGTTTGAAGAGGAGGGACATATCGGTTTTAGATACTGCAGTAATCTAGACTTGCTAAATATCATAGACTTCCATGGGCTGTATTAAACCACGCTTCACCTCACCTGTAAATAATCGATACTGGACCCGACAATCCAGTGATTGACATCATGAGCATCAATCCACGCAATTGGGATTCGATAACATGCATCAACCAAGTTATTGAGACTGACCACCCGGTCGCGTTAGTCACCTCTAAAGGACAAGTATAGTCGCCTTTTACATGTGCATATGAGTTGCTGAAGACCTATTCTACCCCGGACCTTTTCTTCACGGGTCCGATCACCTATAAGTCGACTCTTATGACAAGCATAGTCGCCTCTTAATGCAAGCACGGGTTGCTGAAGGAAAATTCTAAGACACAATATACGGACTCCGAGCCCACCAGTCCTTGTTTTATCCCATTAATGGCGAGCATGCAGCACACAGGGTAACAATAAGTACTGGTCAACTTTTACCGTCTCTTGGTACCAGTATCAGGCCAGGGGATCGAACCACCGACATTCGCCCTCCAGACAGACGCTCTATTCACTGGACCATGGAGGCGGTCCTGAAAGAGGAAGTGACGTATGATATAATTATGGTGGGGCACAATGTATGATACTCTAAAATCACCCCATGCATGGTCTGTTGTGTTCAGATTGAATGGTTATATGACGGACCAGACAATCCAGTGATTGATATCATTGATCTTTGGGAAACGATGGTCGATATGCATCAGCCAAGTCAGCGAGCCTGACGGATCCCGTTAGTCGCCTCTTATGACAAGCATAAGGTTGAACAGTAGTCAACTTTTAGTGTAACTACAATTATTTAGAGTTGATTCATTTGTTCATTCCTTTGTTTGACTTTGACTGTGATTGAAATAGGTGCAAAGGTAACTGTCTCGTCAAGTTTAGCTTAATATTGTAGACAATTTATTACTTTGTCAGGCTTTCAAATATGTGCATCCTACAGCTACATCTTAAGTGCCAATTTGGTGAGGCGATATACATGTCATCATGATCATATAACATGCTAAACCTGGGTCAACTTCATTAAACGTTTGAGGAGAAATCTGCATTGTGTTCGTTTCTTAGTTTTATCAAAATCAGTAAATGCACTAACGTGTTACTGGATTTCTGGTCCATCCATCACTGGATTGTTTGGTTTGTTGACAGTCCGCCGTCGCACGATAGGAGTACTGCTGTACTGCGTCAGGCAATGAACACTTACTTTTATCACGCAAACTGTGTGGATATGGCAGGTGCTACTAGTATAGCGGGACATGATTACCCTTTTCGCGAACACGTGGTGTCGTCACTGATATTTAGTGGTCCATTCATATAATCTTTACAGCTATTTTGCTCTCAAAGTGAAGTTTGTTTCGGTTGATAATCAAGACTGGTTATTCTCTGGCACTGACATTTTATTGTCCGTCCGCCGGTCATCCTTTCTAAAACCGTTCAATATTTTTTCAACAAAAACAAATGGTAGATATATCAAACAGATCCTGAAGTGGTGCCTTTTGCTATTTACGGATTTATGGCATTTTTATTTTTCTCGATTTCCATGGAAACAATTTGTACCAAGTCTCAAGAGGGGGTAGTGGATTTTGTTTCCGGCGCACAACTCAGAAACCGTCCGATATCTTTCAACAAAGCGTGGTTGATATATCAAACAGATCCTCAAGTAGTTTTGCAGATTTTGGGCATTTGAATTTTTCTCGATTTCCATGGAAACAATTTGGATTTAGTCTCAAAAGGGAGGGGTGGGTGTCGTTTCCGGAGCACACCATAAAAACTGTGAAAGAATTTTCATCCAAACCTGGTACATGTATTGACTAAGGGCTGACGTGGTACCTTTTGCTATTTAGAAATGTTTCAAAATTTGATTTCCCCCCGTTTCCATTTTTAACAAGTTAGACTTAGGATGTAGCAGAGGTAGGTGTTTCCGGAGCAGAACTAAAAATCTAGTCTGACATTTTTCATCAAAACTTGGTACATGTATTAATCAAATGTTAAAGTGGTGCCTTTTGCTATGAAGAAATTATTTTTGAAAAATATCTGTTGCCATGGCCACAAGTTTGACCTTGGCTGTTAATAGTGGTGTGTTTGTCCGGACCATGTCTCTAAAACTTATAGGTATTCTTTCATGACACTTAACACACAAAGACCAGTTTGTCAAATGGTGCCTTTTGCTACAAAGGCCTGTTAAGAATTGATATTTTTTTTCTGTTTCCACGCAACAAATTTGATCTTGACTTGGTCATATTGGTGAGTACCTGACGTAGAAATACAAAGTTCCAAATCGTGTATAGGACAGACCTATTAGATAGAAATTCGCTCATCAAGTTGGACTTAAAGTAACAGTCAGATGATTTGTTCTCTCGAATTTGTGGGGGCCTGAGGGATTTGTCACCTTCTGATGACTTGCATGAACATGCTATATATAATATTCCAAGACTGTTTTCAGTTTTAGCTACATAATACAACATATCGAGTCCTTGCTTTTTCCACAATCATTAATCGCGGTTTAATTAAAGAACATGCTTGAACAAAGTTGCTTTATTCCGAGGCTGCCATTTGTATGCGT